AAATATGCAGATTCAAGATTTGCTGCTCTAAATCCCATGGTACCAATCAACTCATAAAAAGTAGACAAATGAATATAAGGGTCTTCATGATCCAGTCTAGTGAATTCATGAGCACTAATCAAGCTTAAGAAAGTTGGATTCATCTGCAATGTTTGATCGTCCGGTACGACAATGCTGGAAAAGTGTCTCGGACCTTGTTGCATAACATAGTTTTTGAGTGTTCTTCAAGGTGGATTTGAATATGGATTTTGATTTGGATTTAAATTTGGATTTGGATTCATATTTTCTCCGTCTTCTGCCATATCTTCTATAATTAGGTCTGGAAGATTGAGTGTGGAAGAAGAGTTAACTGATTCTCCGGTGGCTTGTTCTTGAGTTTCCCTTCTTCTTTTATCCCGGTTCCTCTTAGCGATTTTTTCAATCTCTGGATTAAATTCTAACTTCTCTGAAGATACCTGTCCTCTTAAACGCATAAATCAAAAGAATAACTCAAACAAAGATTAGCACAAGCCAATAATTAAGTAAGACTAAAACTGAAAAATAAAACAAAATAGAAATAAAAATAAAATACTCAATAAGCTAAACAAAGAATTCTCAAAGAACACCGTTCCCCGGCAACGGTGCCAGAAATACTTGTTAAATTATTGGCAAGCATACCAAAATTATCAATCGCAATATAGTATTTCGATTAAATAAAATTCGATCCCACGAGGAACAGTTTCAATGGAAATTCCCAAATTTTATGCTTACTTAGTAGATTAAAACAAAATGAGTTTTGCATAAAGAGTTGAATTGAAATTAAATGACAAAAAACTATAAATTGTTGAGAAAATATCGATTAAAGGCACTTAGGATTGATTTCCTTCCTTATCCCTCTTTTGTAATAACTATGTCAATTAAGAACGTCAATTAACCTAACAATATTGATGCCACCTACTCAAATCATCCATGTTGATTCTTCACACATGAAATTCATTAGAAAACCTAATAAATGTTGATTCCTCACACAATTAAGAGATTTTCCAGTATTAGGTTTAGGGTGTTAAGAAATTGATACATTCATTCCATTCTTGACAATTAACGGAACAAATATTCTTACCGTGATCTAGGGTTCAAGATATATTTTCCAATCATATCCCAAACATCAAGAATAATTCATTCCAAAGCACAAAGGATAAGAATAACAACATCAAAACATAGATTAATATCTCAAAATATCACCATGATACAAAAGAGTTCAAAGGAAATACACCCAATCCCAATAGAATGAAGTTAGTCACTCATGTTGGCCATTACAATGTTCCAAATGTGGAAGAAGTGAAGAATTGATGAAGATTGGATGAAACCCTAGCAGTAGTCGCGCCTCTTCTCCCTAAAACCTCTTGCTTTTCTCAAAACACATCTTCTCTTTTTATAGGAAAAATTGAGCTTTTGGGCTTCGCGTCTTTCGCTCAAGCGACAACTTTCGCTCAAGCGAAAGTTCCTATTTTCGCTCAAGCGACAAAACACTCACTTGAGCGAGTGAACTCCATAGAAGAATAATTAACATTCGCTCAAGCGAATTTTCTTTCGCTTGAGCGACTGACATCCAGAGAAGAATAACTGATATTCGCTCAAGCGAGAGTCCATCCCGCTTGAGCGACTTCTATGCTGAAAATCTTCTTCCTTCTTCCAAGTTTACTCCAATTATGCTGACAAATATGCTCCTTACTCTTGTATCAAGGTATTCTCAAATTCATCCTATATTGGGAGAAAAATAGATTAGAATTAACATAAGTTAAGTAGTTTAATAACAATTCAAGGCATAATTATATCAACTTTTTACCAATTAACAAAATCTACTATCATTGGAGAAGGAATTATCTCTATTTCAAACAATTTGTTTGAACCTTGATATTGTCCTTGTTGTTCCTTCTCTTAACTATAACCTATTGTCAGTCTCGTAAATAACCAAAGCTCTTTTATGTGTTGTAATTTTTGGGTCTGACTCTTGTGTTTTTAAGGGCATTCAAACGAGGAAGACGATTGATTATGGTATTAGGCGAGGAAGATTGTATTACCTGGACCTGACAGAAAAAGATTCAAAGAGACTTGGTCAAGTGCTAGCAACAAAAAGGTCTCAAGAAGTAAGAAAAGGCGAGGATATTTGGTTATGGCATAAGCATCTAGGACATGCATCTTTTGGTTACATAAAGAAATTATTTCCAAATGTATTTGACCAAGTAGACACTTCAACTTTTTATTGTGATGTTTGTGAGCCTGCAAAGAGTCACATAACATATTTTCCTTTAATTTCAAATAAAAGTTCTGTTCCTTTTATGATCATTCACTCTTATGTATGGGGTCCATCTAAGGTTACAACGTTGGGTGGCTCAACGTGGTTTGTAACGTTTATTGTTGATTGTACTCGACTGACTTGGTTATGTTTGATGAAGTCTAAAAGTGAAGTTGGAGGACTATGTCAGAAATTCTGCAAAATGATTGAGACCCAGTACAAAGCACAAGTTCAGGTACTGCGCAGTGACAACGAAGGAGAATATATGCAATCAGAACTTCAACATTTTTTAGTAGCCAAAGGAATTGTTCATCAGAGATCTTGTCCACATATTCCACAACAAAATGAGGTGGCAGAATGAAAGAACCATCATCTATTGGAGGTGGTCTGAGTTGCACTGATTGGAGTTCACATGCCAACAATATATTGGGGAGAAGCTCTCACATATGCAGTATACACATATGCAGTATACACTATCCCCATGGAAGTTAACAATCCCCTGATGGATCACCTAAGAAAATTTTATCCCCTGCAGATCCCCATAAAGAAGGGAAAAAGCCAGCGTAACAAAAAAGCTTAAAAAGAAAAAAAAAAGAAGGCATTAGCTCAATAAGAAAAGCCAAAATCCTACATCACAAGAAAAAGAGATAAAACCGCGAGAAAAAGGCAGGATTAAACCATCACCTCAACCAACAAAATTTTGACTACCAAGCCAGAGTCGAACAAACAAGACTCATTCGACCGGCCAGTAAAAGTCGGATGATCACCACCAAAAGTAAAAAACAAAGAGTCCCCAGCGAGCAGGCAAGCTGGATGAGCACCCACAAAATCCCCGACGCAGACCAGATGACAATTCCCAGAAAAGACAAACACAAAGAAAAGTACATCTCAACACACGGCGCATGAGCTACCCAAGCAGTAAGCCGCCACCACCACCAGTCCTATGCAGTGGACTGTACCATCCTGATAGGGGGTTTATACCTATCAACCAGCACACAAGGAGTGCCTAGCCGGCGCATGAGCTACCCGAGCAGTAAGCCGCCACCACCACCAGTCCTACACAGTGGATTGTACCAACCAGATAGGGGGTTCATACCTATCAGCCCGCGCACGCGTTGCGCCTGATCTGCGCTCGAGCCGGATCAGTAAGTCGCACTACCCGCCTGATGGGGGGTTCATACCAATCCAGTCCCACACAACGGACTGCAACTACCAGCCTGATGGGGGGTTCATACCCATCCAGTCCCACACAACGGACTGCAGCTACCAGCCTGATGGGGGGTTCATACCCATCCAGTCCCACACAACGGACTGTAATTACCAGCCTGATGGGGGGTTCATACCCATCCAGTCCCGCACAACGGACTGCAACTACCAGCCTGATGGGGGGTTTATACCCATCAATCGAAGGATCGACTACCATCAGAAGGAGTATCCTGAGGTTCTACCACATGTTAACCAAAGGGATCGACTACGTCAGAAGTAGTATCCTAGAGGTGCACAACACAACATTTTCCCCAGAAGATCAACCGCCGCAAGACGGGACATCCGAAGGGTAACCGGGCAAGAGGGTCAACTCCTTTACCTTCCTGTCAATCTGTCTGGCACAACAGGCCAACAGCTGACTAGTCAGGTAAAGGGGGGGCAGCTGTAGACCCCAAATCTTGCCCGACCTCCAAATAAAGAGTAGAAGACCTCCTATTCAAAGATGGACAAAGCCTAACAAGCCACTAGGAGAGACTATTAGGCCCCATACTAGGATATGAGGGATTTTCGGCACGTAAATAAGGTTTCTCGCCTTTTAGGGGACGAGACCGTCGTCTCGCCTCATGGAAGTGGCGAGACCGCCGTCTCGTTTGGTGAGACGGCGGTCTCGCCACCTTTCGAAGGGCGAGACGGTGGTCTCATTGGGCGAGACGGCGTTCTCGACCCTGTCAGACGAGACGACAGTCTCGACCTGTCAGGCGCGAAAAACTATAAATAGGGGGCTCCCTTCCCTCATTTCCACACACCACACAGAGCTTTCTCCTCCTTCTCTCTAGAAAATCACTAGTTTCTCTCTCTAGAATCCCTCTGACGCATTTCCGGAGCTTCTGAGTGTCTTTAGAGTGTTTTTCGAGCGTTCCGAGAGGTTTTCCGGCGCTGTAGAGTGAAGGGCTGCCACAAAGCACCCTCTTTTTAAAAAGAATTAATACAAAAGCGTGCTTCGGAGGTTCACATTCTCCCTCTCTACCTTTATCGCTTTAATTTTAAATTATGCAATAGATACAAGGGCCATGTAGTCGTAATTATAAATTCCGCAGAATAAAAGGGTAAAAGCGTATTTTTCTGGTTTAATCATTTACATAAAGCTGGCCTATCATAGGGAACCCAAAAAGGGCGTCGTAAAGGAAATAATACTTCCTTTACACGTAACTAACTCCCTTACCCAACTCTGGTTCTAATGACCAAAGTTGGTTTTTCGAAAACCAACGCCTTTTAATCCCTTTTCTGATGTTTCCGGTAAAAACATCGGTGGCGACTCCACAGAACCCTTTCAAAACTAGCTTTTGGATTAGCCCGGTTATCGGACAATCCAAGAGAGCCTTTTTGAAAACCTCGCCCCTAGGTTCAGCCCGGTTATCGGACAATCTAAAGGCGTTATAACCACCAACAAAAACACGCAAAAATTGGAAAGTCAGAACCATCGCGTCGCTCCGACCACCTCGTTTTGACGGCGGTGACAATGGTGTTTGAGAAACATTTGTATTCATGGTCTAGAATTGGAACACTGAAATTGAGAGAGATATGGACAAAGCAACCAGTGAATAGGATATGTGCCGATAACATTAAAGGGATAGAGGACAGAGCTGGATTCCCCACAATTGGCAAGAATGCAGTTCCTTTGATTTTTACAGAGTTTGGGTTTAACGAGGTAGGTTCTTCAGTGGAGGACAACAGGTTCTTGACATGCCTTCAAACTTATCTTGTTGGGAAAGATTTGGACTGGGGTTTGTGGGCTTTTCAGGGTAGCTACTATTTAAAGAGTGACACGGTCCAAGTTAAGGAGTCATTTGGTATAATGGATGAGACTTGGCACCACTTGAGAGATCCCAACTTCACTCGCAAGTTCCAACTTTTGCAAAGAAAGAATCTAGGTATGGCTTTTGAGTTAAACGAATGAGTTTGGTGATGATGCATTATTACATTCATAACCATGAATATGAATTATTTTTGCAATAACATAACTTGTGTGTTTTTATGTAGAACCTCTCTCCAAGGCCCCCATTGTAAATATCTTGTACCACCCATTATCCGGTGAATGTGGTCAAGTGAATGAGAAGAGTGAAGTTGAACTTGGTAGCTGTCAGACCAAGAACAGATGGGTTCATGGAGGGAATGGGACTGAAATCCTTTTGCATGGCACTAAGTGAAGCACTTGGTGGATTTGATGAAGACAAGCACTTGGTGGTTTTGATGAAGACATAGATATAGCTTAGGTTGTGGGTGTGTAGATGATTAGGTTTTTTAGTTTAAGCACTTAATCTCTTGATAGGACAATATATTTTGTGATAAGCACCTTATAATGTTGCATCCCATTGAAAATCATTTTTCTGCATGAAAAACTAACATCTAAGTATTAAAAGAACAAACTAAGTTTTTCAATCTGTTAAAATTACTTAAAAGAATAAGTGATCATACATTAATTCTTTCAATTGGTATCAGAGCTGGTTCTTGTAAGTTACTCAAGGAATCGGTCCAATGGCTGAGGGAAAGATGAATTTTTTAGAAGGAGCCTCCATAAACAGGCCTCCACTTTTTTCTGGTGTGAATTATTCTTTCTGGAAGGTTAGAATGAAAATCTTTATTGAATCTCTTGATAGAGGCATTTGGGAAACAATTGTTAATGGTCCTTACAAACCAACTCATACTGTAGATGGTAAAGTAGTCGAAAAAGATTGGGCTAAATTAACCGATGTAGAAAATAGGAGAGTCCAATATGATTATACTGCAAAAATATTATTACCTCTGCTTTAAATCTTGATGAGTTTTTCAGGGTGTCTCGAGTGTGCCTCTGCCAAAGAGATGTGGGAAATTTTAGAGGTTACACATGAAGGAACATCTCGATGTGAAAAGGGCAAGAAAGCATGAGTTAATCAGGGATTATGAGTTGTTTAAAATGCAGCAAGGAGAAACAATTGCGGATGTGCGAGAAAGGTTCACGCACATAGTCAATCATCTAATTGGGTTAGGAAAGACTTTTGACAAAGAAGAGTTGAACATCAAAATCTTAAAGTGTTTGGACAGAACGTGGCAACCAAAGGTGACAGCTATATCCGAATCAAGAGACTTGATCGAAATGACTACCGCTTCACTTTTTGGTAAGTTGAGGGAACATGAGTTGGAAATCAATCGGTTCAAAGAACAAGAGAATGCAGAAAAGAAAAGTAGAAATATTGTTCTCAAGACAATTGAAGAAAACAGTGGATCTCGAAGAAGATGAATCGGAGAACTCGACTTTATTGGTTAAGAAATTTGGAAAATTTCTTAGAAGAAAGAACAGAACTGGCCAAGTAAAAAGGTACAATGATAAAAAGATCGAATCTGTTCAAAATAATATTACTTGTTATTCTTGTGGTAAACAGGGTCACATAAAGAGTGATTGTCCGGAAAAGACCAAGAATCGAACAAGAAAGAATCAAGATACAAAGGGAAAAAGGCTTATATAGCCTGGCAAGACAATGATTCATCTTCCAGCTCCGAATCCGAAAGCGAAGAGGTGAACCTGTGTTTGATGGTCGGTCGTGAATCCTCTTCATCACATGTAAGTTCAACTCCTACAGAGAATGAAATGAATTATAGCACATTACTAAATGCTTTCAATGAAATGCATAGTGAAGCCGAAATTTATCTCATACAAATAATCGGTTGAAAGGTTTAAATAACTGGTTAGAAAATAGAGTTAAAGTTCGGAAAATGAATTATTAGAAAGCAAAACAGATTTAGAACATCTAAATATAATCTATGCATCTGCGAATAATGTTGCTGCTAATAAGAAGTGTGAAAAGTGTATTATTCTGCAAGATAAGGTTGATTACTTGATTAAAACTTTGTCTAAGTTTACTCAAGGTAAAGAGAATTTAGATGCACTTCTTGGATCTCAAAATTGTATTTTTGAACATTCTGGAATCGGGTACAAACCTAAGATTGGGGTAAAAACTAAAAAATATTTGAACTTCTTTTCATACGGAAAAACAACAACATCCCCTTTCTCATCTTGTCATTACTCGCATGAAGAAAGGACATACTATAAAATACTCGTTATGCTAGAAAATATTTTGTGCCGCAAGGTAGGAAGAGATGGGTTCCAAAACATGTTAAACGAAAAATTTGACTCCTAAGGACCCAAAATACGTAAGGGTACCAAATACTTGATGTTTGATCTTTCAGGAACAGCAACAAGAGTCCCTTTGGTATCTAGACAGCGGATGTTCAAGGCACATGACAGGTGACATTTCAAAATTCCGAAGTTTGAAATTGAAGAATGGAGGTCATGTGACTTATGGAGACAACAACGAGAGGAAGAATTCTAGGTTCTGGAGATATTGGTGATGGTGAATCAGTAATCATTCACAATGTTCTTCTTGTTGAAGGTCTCAAGCACAATCTGATAAGCATAAGTCGGTTATGTGATCTTGGTCACAAAGTCATTTTCAAACCGGAAAAGTGCCTTATCCGTGAGCCGGAATCCGACACGGTAATGTTGGTAGGTAAGAGGTTAAACAATATATACATGTTAGATATCAAACAGTCTATATCATCTCAAAGTTGTCTTCTTACTAAAGAAGAAGAATCTTGGTTGTGGCATAGAAGACTTGCTCATATACATCTTAACCATCTTGACAAACTGATTTCAAAAGAATTAGTTTCTGGGCTGCCTAAGCTTCAGATCTTGAAAGACAAAATCTGTGAAGCTTGTTTGAAAGGCAAACAAACTAGAAAATCTTTTTCAAACAAAAATATTGTTTCAACTTCTAAACCTTTGGAACTGCTTCACATGGATTTGGTTGGTCCTTCAAGGAATAAAAGCCTAGGTGGTAATCTTTATATCATGGTAATTGTTGATGACTTTTCCAGATTTACCTGGACTATTTTTCTTAAAGCCAAATCTGATTCTTACAAATCTTTCAAAAAGCTTGCCAAGGTTTTACATAATGAAAAAGGGTATTTTATTACATCAATTCAAAGTGACAATGGTGGAGAATTTGTAAATGAAAAGTTTGAATCATTTTGTGAAAAGTTTGGCATAAAACACAATTTTTCTACTCCAAGAACTCCTCAACAGAACGGTGTTGTGGAAAGAAAGAACAGATCTATTGTAGAACTTGCTAGAACAATGTTGTGTGAAAATTCTTTACCTAAATACTTTTGGACAGATGCAGTAAACACTGCTTGTCATGTTTTGAATAGAGTCTTGATTAGACCCATGCTTAAGAAAACCCCATATGAACTGTACAAAGGAAGAAAACCCAACATAAACTATTTCAGAGTTTTTGGATGTACATGTTTCGTTTTAAACAATGGGAAAGAAAATATTGGCAAGTTTGATGAAAAATCTGATAAAGGAATTTTTCTTGGTTACTCAACTCACGGTCATGCATATAGAGTTTATAATTTAAGATTGAAATCGGTTGAAGAATCAGTACATGTTGTGTTTAATGAGTCTTCTCGAGTGGTGCGTAATAGAACAACAAGTACTGCAGATGAAGAAGAATTAACTGATAATTCTTATCGGTTGAAACATGCCGAAACACAGATCGATTGTACTGTTGAAGAAGATGATCCATCAGCTGGACCCTGCAAAAGCTGATCCACCAACAATTATCGAAGAACAGGAAGAAGATGTTCGGAAGAGCTTCCTAAAGAGTGGATTGTCCCAAGAGATCTCTCTCTAGACAATGTCATCGGGCAAATTAATAAGGGAGTATCTACTAGACATTCTCTTAACCAATTCTCGTAATCATATGGCATTCATTTCACAAATAGAGCCTAAGACAGCTTAAAGAAGCATTAAGTGATGAATACTGGGTTAGTGCCATGCATGATGAGCTTAATCAATTTGAAAGAAATAAAGTGTGGGAATTAGTTCCTAAAATCAAAGATATCAATGTAATTGGTACTAAGTGGGTATTCAAAAACAAGCTAGATGAACACGGCATTATTACTAGAAATAAAGCTAGATTGGTAGCCAAAGGGTATAACCAACAAGAGGGTATTGATTTTGATGAAACCTTTGCACCCGTAGCTAGACTTGAAGTCGTTAGATTGTTATTAGCTTATGCCCGCTAAGTGGTTTCAGATTACTACAGATGGATGTAAAGAGTGCCTTTCTAAATGGACTCATCAATGAAGAAGTATATGTTTCTCAACCTCCTGGGTTTGAAGATCACAAGCATCCTGACCATGTCTACAAATTGAAAAAGGCCCTTTATGGTTTAAAGCAAGCACCTAGACAATGGTATGAGAGGTTAAGTAACTTCCTAATTGATCAAGGGTACAAGCGAGGTGAGGTTGATAAAACTCTGTTCATTAAGAAATCTGAACCGACATTATTCTGGTGCAGGTGTATGTGGATGATATCATTTTCGGTTCCACTAATAATGCCATGTGTAATAAGTTTGTAAAAGAAATGCAAAGTGAATTTGAAATGTCTATGATGGGAGAATTGAATTTCTTCCTTGGTCTCCAGGTTAAACAATTAAGAAATGGCATTTTTCTTAGTCAATCTAAATACCGCAATGAATTGTTAAAGAAATTTGATATGCAAAACTGCAAGGTGTCCTCTACACCCATGTCTACTAACCGTTGTCTAGACTTAGATGAAAAAGGAAAACCCGTTGATCAAACTAAATATAGAGGTTTGATTGGTTCACTACTATATCTAACTGCTAGTAGACCCGACATTATGTTTAGTGTGTGTCTTTGTGCAAGATTTCGAGCAAATCCAAAGGAATCTCATCTTACCGCTGCCAAAAGGATTCTGAAATACCTTAAGGGAACAGCTTAATGTTGGACTATGGTATCCCGATGGTGCATCCCTTAAACTTGTTGGATTTTCTGATTCTGACATTGCAGGATGTAGATTGGACAGAAAAAG